CACACCCAATTTCCTCCATCTTGTGCCCTTTGGGCCCCTAATCTAGAATCCTAAAATTTAACTTTTGCACCCGTGCCACACTTAATTATTACTCATATCAAACACTCAGAGCTGGTAATTCATCCTGTAAGACTGAAAACTCTTTTCCATGGGCAGAGATCACAGCCAGTGTCTCTGGGGGCTCTGTCCAGGGGGGTTCCTGACCACTGCCAGGGTCCCAGACCTGCCAGGGCAGCCAGAGGGAAGCTCTGGATTCCCACAGATTCCCTTGCAAACACGCCTGGGAAGACCCAAGGAGTCAAAGCTTTCATGGTGTTTTGCCACCAAAAGTGCACTGGAAAGTAGCTACAGCCCCTAAGGCTGCTGGAGGCTGTAGGGAATTCGCGTGCTCTTGGTTTGTCTCTGAGCAAAAGCCTCATGAAAAGGGGCAGCTCGTGGTGGACACGGCCCAACAATGAGCCAAGATGCTCCTGGTATTTGGTTTGGCTGCTGAATGCCCTGAAAGCAAAGAATAAAGGATAAAAAAGCCTTGATGAGAACAACCAAGGCCTTGATGAGAAGATCTGAGGCTCTCAGTGACTTCTCTTGGTGGCAGGATGATGGAGGCTGGTGAGCACAAGATAAAGGGGGGCAGACCCAGAGGAAATGGGAGAAAATATTAAAATATTGGATGTTAGAAAGGAATTCCTATTCCTGTGAGGGTGGGCAGGGCCTGGCACAGGTGCCCAGAGCAGCTGTGGCTGCCCCTGGATCCCTGGCAGTGCCCAAGGCCAGGTTGGATGAGGTTTGGAGCAGCTGGGAGAGGGGAAGGTGTCCCTGCCATGGCAGGGGTGGCACTGGGTGATCTTTAAGGTCCCTTCCAACCCAAACCAGTCTGGAACTCTATGCAGCACAAAAGTGTCAAAACTGTGAAAAGCAAATAAGAAAATATACAAGAGGGGAGATAAATATGCAAAGGAGGAACACTGCAGACAATGGATAAGCTGCCTTAAGAAAATTGCCCTGTATCTAATAATCATTGGAAAATCAACTGTTATACAGGAGTCTGCAGACCATAAAAAGCCAAGGAAAGAAAGCACAATAGAAGCAGTGCCTCAAAATATCAGATTTTATACATTTATGACACCAGCACATTCCAAAAAGGCAGACATATTTTCTTTTACAGCTCTGACTTGCACCAGATAAGGAAAAAAACTGGCAGAGGAACACAAACAAGCAGGAAATTGCATGGGAAGTCAACATCAGTGCTCTGTGAACGAGCAGAGCTACAAAGGCTTAACTGCATTGTGCTGAGGGAGAAAGCAAACCCAGAGCTAAGCAAAGAGAAATTAAAATTTCATGCAGGGTCTAAGGCAATGTAAGACACAAACACACCAGAAAGGATATTTATCGGCCAAACAACACAGGAATCGTTACTTTCAGCAGTAAATTAAAGGAATGCTGACATAAAATCAGAGAGAAATATTCCATACAAACCCACAGGACTGAAGTGGGTAAGCAAACATAAAATATTCAGTCAGGATGATGCATCTACAGCGAGGGGGAAATTGTTTCTGCTACCCAGAACTGCAGATATTGGTGTAACTTCAGAGGCAAGAGTTCCAAAATGGAACTGACCTCCCACACTTCCTTTTGCACAGAGAAGACCCTGAATGAGGCTGTGGAAACCTTGACCGGGCAGGAATTGATGTCACAGTGAGCATCAGCCACAGCAGCTGGGGCAGAGGGGCCTGGGACACCCCCCAGGAGCATTGCTGGGATCTTTTCAGGGAACAGTGGAGCTGGGAAAGCGCTGAGAGAGGTGCCCAGGGAGGTGGGGGCTGCCCCAGGTCCTGGAAGTGTCCAAGGCCAGGCTGGACAGGGCTTGGAGCAACCTGGGACAGTGGATGGTCATGGCAGGGAGTGGATCAAGATGGACTTTGGAGTTCCTTTCCAGCCCAAACCAGTCTGGCATTCTCTGATTCCCTGGTTATCCTGTGATTCCACATCTCAGTGCAGATACCAGCACTAGAGGGTTCACTGCTGGCCTTGAAGGTGAGAGCAAACTCATCACCACATCCCCACGACTGAAAACTCAGTCGGGAGTCCAGGAAAACCACTCCAAACTGAAGGCTGAGCCTCACGGGGGACTTGGTTATGAAAGGTAAAACTGACCCCAGCAGTGGCCACCAGGCTTCATACTGGGTGGAGCTGAAGTCTGGCAAACCAAGGCTCTCCTGGGGCAGAAATCTGAGTGCTTAAAAGACTGCACAGTTTTGGGGACCATGACTTAGCCCCCTGGGGCCTGAGCTCACCTGTGGGTCTCAAGCAGGGATTGCTGAGACCTAGAGCTGGATCCCTTTCAAATTCACTCTTTAGGCTTCCATGACTTCTGGAAATTGCAGCCCTACACTCCCAGGATAGATTCTGATTACACAGCAGTTTCCTCTCAGTGTTTTTCCACTGATTCCCACTGAGTTCTGCCTGACTTGCATCAGTGTACTGGGAGGGAATTCTCAACTACTCAGCACTCACTGCTGTGTCTTCCTGGGGTGTAGCAGAGAAGCTTGGGGGGGATTTGGGGCTGCTGTTGGCACTCTTTTCAAAGCAGCTCAGCTACTGGGGGAATGGATGGTAGGGGCCAGAACAGCACTGTGCTGTCACCTTCCCTTCCTGGAACAGGAAAGGAAAAGCTTACAGCTTGGGAAGTTAAAGTTTTTACACCAGACCCATCCAGCTGAGATTCCTTTTTGAACAGTTTGCTCTCAGAGCAAGGAAGCAGACTGGGAACTGCCCAGGCAAGACCAGTTTCACATTTGGACAGCAGCAAATCCCCTCCCCAGTGTCACAGAACCACGGAATCATGGAATCTTCAGATCTGGGAGGGACCAACAAGGACCACAGACCCCAGCTCCTGATCCTGCACAAGACAAGCCAACGATCCCACCCTGTGCCCAAGAGCTTTGTCCAAACACTCCTTGATCTCTGTGCCAGATATTTTGCCTGTAGCTACATGAAAGATCCATTGCTCTGTTTTTATTACCAGCTTCGAGTACAAGTGTTCCACCTCCCAGAATATCTGCAGAGTGTCACTTCTATCAGGTTTGCCAAAGGTTCTGGGCTCAGGAGCCTCCCTGAATTGTTTGCAGGTTCTTTCCCACCTGGTGCAGGTGGAAGAAGGTGTGCAGGGCCTTGCAGCACTGGACATTACCTGGGGAGAGGTGACCAGGTGCTCACCTAGGGCTGGGAGGAGAAATGGGGAGCTGAGAGGGCTCATGGTCCAAAGGGAGAACCAGGAGGAACTGCCTGCCCCAGGCATCACTGCTGCAGAATATGTGGCTTCCTTGAGAAGCATTTCAGGTGTGCCCAGAGAAGTCCTTGGGAGCTGGTCCTGACCCCATCATCCGTTCAATAGATTTCCAACAGAGATCAGGTCTTACTGCAGATGAAGACAACACTGTTCCCTCATAAACTGAAGTGGCCAGTAGGGTGGGAGGTGAGCTTTAATTCAATTTAAGGCAATGAGTGCCTTTACTGCCTTCCTAGACCCTCCTCCGTGCTTGCTCTGCTTGTGGACTCGGGGTCAGTGTCGGGATGGGTGAACACCAGCTGCACCCACTTCCCTACAGGTCAGAACGACCTGGTGCCTCTCAGGGATCCTTTTTTCCCAGTCCTCCTGTGACTGGTACCCCTTGCTGCTCACCAAGGGCTCTGGGGAAGAGCTGTCCCTGCAGGAAATCAGGCTCCCTCTCTCCCCAGACACCTTTAGGGCCTTTCCAGGACCCCATGAAAAAGGAAAAGCTCATGCCCTGCTCAGCTGCTCGCAGCTGTGTGGGGCCAGAAGGACTGGGGCTGGTTCACAGCACATCAAAGCCTTGCTGGGCTCAGTGGTTTCTGGCCAAGGCTTCCCATCCATCTTTCCTGCTGACATTTCGGGGCTGTGGGGCTGATCCTGAGCAGAGATAAGAGCTGGCAGGTTCAGGCTCTGCCCCAGAGATCCAGGAGGACCTCCAGCTCCAGCTGTACAGAACTGCCTTAGCACTGCAGAAACATTTGCCTCAGTTGCAAAATCAAACTCAAGCTTCTTCTGACAAATCCATGCAGAAATTCCTTTTCCCTTTGGAAAAGAAGTAGGAGGGTGACAGAACCAGACACACGGATCTGTGACTATAAACTAAATTATTTATGTCCTCTTCTTATGAGTCAAACTCTTTATTGCAGCTGAATGTTGGATTATGACAGCCAATGGTCTGTGCAGACTGTTCACTGCATTATTTATATCAATCATCTGAGCTACACCTTGTTCTCTTGATGGGGCCTCTTTCAGGGTTGAAAGATCATTGCAGAGAAGAATTTGTGGATAGTAATTAGAATAAAATAAAATTAATTTCCATAAGACTTGATAATTTCACTGATTTACAATAAACCCTTATATATGTGATTTTCCTTTTAAAATTTTTTGTGCCTTTTTTTTTTGTAGTTGTTGTTGTTGTTTTTGCACCCAGAATTGTCAAGGGATCAAGATTCCCATGAAAACAGCTGTGATTTACTCCCAACACGGAGTTCAAGCTGGGGGTTGGTTGCTTAGACACTGAAATACCTTGAATTTCCTTCTCCTCTTTACAATTGCTTGTCAATCCATTGGGCATTGATGCCTCTATGAATAATGAAGAAAAGGAAGATCACCACTGAGTTCTAAGCTAAAATACTCAAACACGTGCACATATAAATTTGCAATGTACTTTAACTAAAGAAGAATTTAGTGACAAACACAGTGGGTAATTTATTGCTACACTTGAGGGTTAATTATTCAGATTAAATGTTTTAAGCAGGGTAACAATGGTATCTGTTTATCTTGCAGTCATTTACCAGGCACTAAACAAATCATGGGCATGTTTTCTCACTTTTAAGTAATCAATATCTCTCTTGTTTCTTTACCTTCATATTTACACCCAAGCAGGATTATTGGGAAGGGGAACGGTTGGATAAAGCACCCAGAAAGGAAAGCCACAAGCAAATGCTTCAAACTTTACAATTCACATTTATTTTGAAAAAATGTTTTGTTAAAAATACTCCTACAAAGACATTGGAGCAGCAGGTTTCTGTTTCCTTTATAAATACATCTGATTTATTTATTTATTTATTTATTTATTCTCAGTAACATCGAAAGACATCTGACAAAGCCAGGGAAGCCCTGGGCTGAATGGAAGACACATCCCTGTGTAACAAGGACCTGCACATGATCTCCCCATTCACAATTAAAAAAAATACAAATACTGTCATGAGAAGTGTTCTGTTGTCCTCAGGGTCACGGCCAACAGGCAGAAAGAGCAGGAAGCCAGGGCTGGGACACCGTGGAGCCCAGTGATGGGTCCTGGGTCTGGTGGCAGGGGAGGACAGGACACAGTGTTGACACTCTTGTCTTTGGGGGGCTGAAGGACTCACCCCATTTCCCCATCCCACTCTGCAGTTCCTTCCAGAGCCACGACCACGAGGTCAGAGCCTGGCAAAGCTCCTCTCCCTGCAACCCTCCCTGTGCCATCAGCAGCTCCTCCACAGCTCTCCCAAGGAAGGACATTTCACAACAGATGTGTCACACCGTGTCCTGCAGGAGGGCCCCATCAGCAGATCACAGGAGCCAATGCCCTGATGGACAATTCCCTGCCACATCTCTCCTGCCACCTCACTGTCACCCCCCTTCCCTCTGGGACCTTCTTGGGATTTGGTACCTGAGCCAGGAAAAAATCTTCCCTGCAAGGAGTCTCTTGGAAAGGGAGCACAGACAGCTCCGTTGGCTCTTCAGTTCCTCAGAAGGCCATGGGTGGATGATGGCACAGGAAGGATGTTTGGGTACCTGTGCCCAGCTCATCCTGAGAGGAGATCTCTGAGCTCCCAAACTCCTGTTTCCTGCTCCCCAATGCTCTCAGACCACAGCTTGGAGAAGTGAGAAGGGTCATGCCTTTATTTGGGACGTTTTTGGAAGAACCAGGCTCATTTATCCAGCAAGAACTGTGACTCCTCAGCTCTGGCTTCAGGGGCAGAACACCCCCAGGCTCCCCAAACTTAAACCAGGGCCTCAAAGCACTCCCTGGGTAGACTGAGTTCACATCAATGCAAACAGCATGGCAGGGAGTGACACAAGGTCAGCAAAGCCCTTCCAAAGCAAACCTGGAAATACGAATTGTGTTCTAACGCTGATGGATGTGCTCCTCCTTCTCCTGTGGCAAGAGGCAGGGCTGGAGCCTTTCCCTGAGCTGCCCTAGGGAACACTGGCCAGGGATCCTGACACACCAGATCTGCCTTCACACACCTTCCTACTGCTTTATCCAGGAAGATCTGTGATGTGAGGGGGATGCTTCCAGAAAGAACGGGAGGCAAAGGGGGGATTTTTTAATGGGAAGGGATGTAGCTAAACAGAGGTTCCCTGCAGAGACGTGCTGAGCCAGCTCCAAGGAAGGGAACCCCTGGCTATGGCCCAAACCTGAACAAATCACCCGCCCTTCCATACTGGGGAGGGGACAGAGGGCAAAGAAACAGCAGAGAGAGAGAGAGCTGGAGGACAAGCAATGACAAAGAAATGGGTGCAAGAGTCACAGGCTGAAAAATGAATAGAGAAGTCACTGGAGGAGGGCACCCAACAGAAATCTCCAATGCAGGGGCTGTGGATCCACAAAGAAGAAGCAGATGCACGTCCCTATCTCTGATCCTTGATTTCTCCCCCTCCATCTCCAGGATGGCAGGGGATGTGCTGTGATGGGGGGTCTTGGAGGATCATCCTAAGAGGGCAGAAGCAAAGCCAGGACCCAGGACTCGGGCAGGAGAGCCTGGAGGATCCAGGAGGGCGCCCACAGCCCGGCACCAGCACCGCTCTCCTTGTCAGGGCATCCACAGGCTGCAGCTCCTGCTTAGTGTCTCCAACTCTCTCACCCTCCAAGGAGGCTTTCCTTGCTCCCCTGCTCAAACCAGGCTTTTCACTGCTCAGATCCCACTGTAGGATTGGATAGGAATGACCACACTTGTCTGTCCCTCTGCCCATGGGCAGGGGGAGCTGGGCTGTTTCACTTGCCTCCACTGTTGAACAGCTTGAAAAGAAAACTCTGGAGCTTGAAGGATGGATGGTGAGTGCTTCTACAGACCTGAGGGACCCAGCCACACCTGACAGCCTCACCCTGAGCAAGTCCTCACTCCAGAACCCGGGAGGATTTTGGGAGCTCCTGCAATCTGAACTTTGTTTCTCTGTACTTCAGAGAAAGGCCAACATGAAACCTACAGCCCTGAACCTTGGCCACCTCACATGAGGGCTGCACCGTCCTTCACTAAAAGCAGGAATTTTCCTATGATCCCAATGCTCCTGGGATCCTAGACACAGAAGCTGGGATTTTTAGAGGGAAAAAGAACCATCAGAGAGCTCATAACCCATCCATTCCTCCTGGAGACCAGAGCCCAGGTGGGGCCAAGCAAGAAGCACTGGTGCACCAAACCTGCCCCTTCCCTGGTCCCCTGCAGCTCACAAGGGTCTGCAAGGGCCAGGAAGACACACTCAGGGACCCTTCAGCTCCAGCCTGACCCTTCTCCCACATTCCTGGGCTGCTCTGCAGAGGGATAAAAATCCCTGCCTGTGCCAAAGACCTTTTCACTTGTGCCATCAAGGCAGATTGAGCAATGAAGGGTTTTAATGTCCGGATCTAAGTTCTTCCCAGGACATAAAGAACAAATTCATCTTCATAGCTGGGCCAGCACTCAGAACCAAACCTTGCACTTAATCCCTGCCTGCATCCTATCCTGGAGCCATTCAATATCAATGCCTGCTCTGGGACCCCTCTGGGACTTCCCTGCACTCCCCAGCCCAGCCCTGAATTGCTCCATTGCACCAAGAGCTTTTTGCCCTTTTAGAAGCTTGTCCCAGTCTCCTTTCCTGTGTTTTACTTTTGAGGCAGCTCTGACACATCCATTTGGACTCATGGTCAGTTCCCAAACAACCAGCAGGTCACAAGGCAGAGCCAGTCAATGCAGAGGAACAAATCTCACTGTCAGAAACCTCTCTAGAGCAGAGGAAGGGAAGGACAGGGATCTCTCATACCCAGCACTCCTAAGGGTCTCCAGGTCATGAAAGGAGGTTTGAGGTAAGAATGCTTCCACAGAGAGCTTCCACATCCAACACATGATGGATCACCCAGTCAATCTCTCTTTTTGGGCTTTTCCTGAGCCCCAGGGATGCCTTAGGATACACAAGAAATTGGGAGGAGGAAGCAAGAGGTTTCCTCTGACATGGGAAGCCTACTGGCTCCACACAGAAATCCTTCCCCAGAAAGAGTGAAAATGGAAAAGCAAAGATGCTTGATGGAGTGTTTGGGCTTTTAAAGATGTGTCAGTAGAATGTGTCAGTCCCAAGAATATGATTGAATTAAAGAATTTTTGCAGGAATCCTGTTATACACCCTGTGCCCCCAGGCATCCATGACCCAGAGAAATTGGAAGAGGTATTTTTGTGTCAAGGTTAGTCTTTTAGAAGTTCGTTCAGTCACTTTTTGAATCCCAGAACATTTTGGGTTGGAAAGGACCTTAAAGCTCATCCAGTCCCACCCCCTGCCATGGGCAGGGACACCTTCCACTATCCCAGGTTGCTCCAAGCCCCATCCAGCCTGGCCTTGGGCACTTCCAGGAATGGGGCAGCCACAGCTGCTCTGGGGAAACTGTGCCAGGGCCTCCCCATCATCACAGGGAAGGATTTCTTCCTAAAATCCAACCTAAACTTATGCTCCTTTAGCTTAAAGTCATCTCTCCTTTTCCTATCAATCCATCTAGTGGTGGTTATCCATGTTCAGCCATGAGTTCCACCCTCCAACCACTGTGCTCTGTGCCAAGGAATATTCTGCTTCCCCTGCCTTCGAGATGTTACTGTCAGAAGCAGTGACTGCTGCTTTCTCACCTTTCTCACATCTTTTCTGATTTAAGGGCATGAAATTTTTATCATTGTGAATTACATCTGCCAGAACCAAGAATCAAAATCTATTTATCTTTTATACCTCCCACAGAGTTCTGGCTGTTACAGAAGCCCTGATCTGGCTGCACCTATCTGTATATTTATTCCTTCATTTCTGTGTATCCCTTTTGAGTGGAAGCACCTCCAGCATTTGCAGAGCCAGCACATCAAAAATCCACCAGCTCGTAACCTTGTGTGAAGGCTCCTGAATGCCAATATTTGATAGCAATCAGAGATTTCACATTTATTCTCCACCAGCAAAGGCCAAGCCAGGCTGTGGGTGTGCCACACCATCTGTCCCAGACTGGTGATTTTACCAGCCTCTATCTCCCAACCCAGCCCACTCAGCCTGGGGTCAGTGAGCTGAAGTTCAGACCAAAGGCCATTTGGGGAAAAGGGGGCTCTGCCTGCCAGCTTCATCCTCAGGTAGAGTCCTCATGGAATCCTGGCATGCTTTGGGTTGGAAAGGACCTTAAAGATCATCTTGTTCCAACTCCCTGCCATGGGCAGGGCTCCTCCTTGAACCCCTTCCATTAGTTTTTCTTAACACAGCTGTTTGGCTCTTAAAGACAAAAATTATTCCTTCCCTCCCCGACTTAGTTGGAATAACCAAAGGATACAGCATGACATCTGTACAAGAGCTCCAGACCGACCCCAGAGGTAGAAGTTGAAGCTACAGTTGCACGTGAACAATTCCTCAAGTTTACTGGAACAAAAGAGTTGGAAATGGATCAGCCAAGTGTTTGTTGTTCTTTTTTCCATGAAGGCAAAATGGAGTTGCTGATAAAAAATGAGGCCTGCAAGGCTGAGTTGTGGTTTGTTTGCAGGGGTGGCAATGGGGCACTGGGATGTCCCCGTGGAACCAGACCAGGAGACAGAGTGGCACTGCTGCTGCACTCCTGCAGAGCTCACAGAGGAATTTCTTGCAGAATGTAAGAAGGAGAAAAATGGGAGAGGTACTGCTGAATGAGTGTTAAGAGAGCAGGAATGCAGATTCAGGAAAAGATTTGTGGGGAGAGAGGACTTCTTGCTTCCAGTCCCAAATTTCTGCAAATAACATTTGTCAGTGGAGTTGGCAGGAGTTTACACAGGGGCAGCAAGGAGGTAAATTCCAGGAAACATTTGGAGAGTGCAGGGAGTTTTCTGGGAGAGCAGTGGAAGATTGGAACACATATGGAAGCAAACACAGGCCAAGGTTGTGTCCTGGCAAGGGCAAAGAACTACAAGAAGCAAAGACGTCCTGAATAAGTTTAAATAAAAAACGCCAAGATGTGACTGTAGATAAAAAAAATTGAATCCTGTATGTGAAGAACTTGCAAATATGTAACATTTTTGAGGATGGAAAAAGACCTACATTAAATCAGCCTCAAGTTAGACATACAGGAAAGAAGATGATTTACATTAAAACAATAAACTCCACTAAACCAAAGCAGACAGCAGCGACACTTCCAGTACTCTGCTGTACATCCAAGGCAGCCCCAGATTTATTGCATCATCAGAGGATACAACTGTTAACGATGCAGCAGAGTTCAAGCCCTGACTCCAGGATTAATATAAATCAGCCTGGCAAATATAACAAGAAGTTTCCTCAGCTGCTCAAACCCTCCAAGAGGTTCTCTCTAGAGGTCACCGCTAATCCAGAGCCTGGGTGATGATTCCCGGGGAACAACCTTTCCTTTAACCCAGATTCCAAGAGCAGCTCCAGGGAGTGTGGGAAAAGCCCTGCAGAGCAGCCAGCAGCTGGTGCTGCTGAAGGTCCCTCTGCTCAGCTCAGGCCAGGCCAGCAGGGAGCAGCTCCAGGCAGTGAGGAGAGCAGGATCCTGCTCTGGGGACAGGGGATCCTGCCAGGCAGAGCTCACAGGGATGGAGCTCTGCTGTGTCCCCAGTCCCCCAGCCCTGCCCTTACCCTGGCGTGTGTCCATGAGCTGACCCTGCTGTACAACTGCAGTGGAGCCATGGGATGGATCCCTGGGGTTAGAGCACTAAAGGAGCCCTGCAGCAGTGGGAAACCCTGGGACAGCCACGTTTATCTGGATCACACGGAAGCCCCAGCACGGACTGCTGCCTTTGGAAGCTGCTGCTCGGCAGGGAGGGTGTTAGGGAGAGGAGAAGCACCTCAGCTGCTGAAAAGCACAAAACCCCACTAATTGATGAAAGGCAGTTCTGAGGGTTTACTAGGGAGGAGAGCAGATCCTTTGGGGAGGGGATGTGCAGCTCACAGTGCCCTGTTTTGTGTCCCCACGGCCACTAGGACAAGTGATTCCTCATGGCAGTGCTGTGTCTTACAGGTCTGTTCTTCCTTTCTTCTCCACACCCCTGGGCTGTTATTCCAGCAAATGGGCTGGTGGCAACAGCTGGAAGTCACCTACAAAGCACATTTTAACTTTTTACTGTCCACATATGCTTTGCTTCCTCTGCTCTGCCCTGTGATGCTCCGCAAGATTTGAACCAACTGAGAACATCCAACCTGCTGAGCATTCCCACCAAACACCCTCCACAGGCTGATCCTCAGCAGGAAGTGGGAATGGGAGAAGGGAAGGGCTGGGAGGTAGCTTGAAAGGTAAAGAGGAAATGTGAAAATTGCAACAAGCTGCCTGAAAATCTCCATGTGATGATTTTGTTACGTACCCACACATGCACACATGCACAAGCACAACAGCATTTCACAGTGTCAATGTTAGCAAGTGCCTTTTCCCCTTGGAACACACTGAGTTTCCCATTAGACTCCCAATTCGTAGCAGTACATTGGAGAGCCATGAAATAAATCTGTTATTGTCACTCCAGTGCCTCTGCCCTCACTCTGCAGCATGTGCCAGAGGCGTTTACAACCACAGCACTTGACAGGAACTCGGCTGCTCGTGCTCCCAGGAGAGCTGAAGGATGCAAAAACTGCAGTGTTTTCTGGACCATGCCTATTTTAGTCCAGCTCTTCATTAGTCCTACACAGCCAAACACAGCTGTCACAGCCATGTCTGGTATAAACAGATGGGAAGGTGTTACTTTTAGTACCACCACCACCATGGGATTTTTGGTCAGAAGAAGAGACAAGGATGGGCTTTCTCTGTCCTGCAGATGGCTGCCACAGCTCTGGGGGCTGTGGCACTGGGCCTGTCCTTCACAGTGGGCTGGGTCTGGCAGGTAGATGTGTCTGCAGCAGCCAGCGAGGAGATTCAGTGCATTGAGACAAAATGTCTCCAGATGAAGAAGACCTGAAGTGCCCTTCCAAGGCCTGGGTGGCTCTGCAGGGAGCATTGCTCCTCCTTAGTGTCTGCAGGAATGTCGGGGGTGGCAGAGAACAGTCAGGAATTGTCTGGGGAGGACAAGTGAGGGGCATCATGTGCTCCTTCCACATGGCTGCCCCACGGGAATCTGCTGGTGAGTTTTGTAGGCAGGTCACTCCTGGCTGTGGCTGGGCAGCTGGCACAGCACCATCGTGCCCTCAGAGAGCTCCACATGCCTTTGGCACAAGGGACAAGTGCTCCTTGTCACAGCACAGCGGCCACCATGTGGGACAGACACGCCACTGGGGCTCCTGGCCTCCCTGTGTGCCCTCTGCAAACACCTCCAGGGATTTTTCATGTCCTTTCAAAGCTGAGCCCATCACCTGCCCAGGAGCGAGTGCTTTCTGGGTGCAAAGGCATTCCAAGTATCCCTTTGGATACACAGGCTAAACCAGGCTGGGTTTAGGGCAGAGCTGCCCATCCAGGTAGCACCTGCACACCCCATGTCTACACCACTCTGTGCCCCTGCCAGCCACGCTGGGGCTGTCACAGGGGATGCCCTGAAGGCACTGAGCTCAGACAGGACCCTGGCACCCAGCACACACCTCCTGGCTGCCATCACCACAGGCAAGTCCAGAGCTGCAAACCCAGGCTGGGTGCAAACACAAACACACCCCTGCACTAGAGATTTTGGATTAATAGGGGCTGGAGGGACAGTTCCTCCACTGAAAGCCCCTGCTGCTGGAGCACCAAACCCTGGGACAGGGCAAGAGCTCGGGAGAGAAGTCTTGCTTGCAGGGACTGCTCTGATGCCACTCACAAGGGCTTTGTTGTTGGATCTGGTCTGGCAGTAGAAAATGCTAGAAGTATTTAATAAAGGACCTCGTATTTTACAAGCAGTCTGGGGAGATGGTGTCTGGCCACCAAGGTCTAGACAGCCTGGGATTTTCATCCACAGCAGACACACTTCCTCTTGGATTCAGCTCCTGGAAAATACAGCCAGGCAGCTCCCAGTGAACGTGCCTTCAGCACTCCTTGCTGCCAAAAACAAGAGGGGGAGCCCAGGAACGCCATGGCAATGGCAGACAAGGAGTTGTGAATGCCAGTCCTGAGGCCACAACCAGGAGAGGGTTGGGAAAATGCCATGTGTGGAATGCTTCAAAGGATGCAAGGTGGTGTTGGGCACAGAGAACAACCAGATTCTCATCTGCACCTCCCTGCACTTAGCTGGTGGCATTCACACATCCCAAAGACCTGATCAGTAACTAAAGAATTTTTTTTCAGTTATTTACAAACCCACTGATCGACCATTCAGCTTCACCCACAGCATTCTGCCTCCCAAGAGCTGGGATTGGAGCTTTTGCTGTCCCAGGCTCTCTTTGACATGAGAGGCTGAGCTTGCAGCTGCATCACCCAACAAAGGGACAGAGTCCCCAAGGCACAGAGCCCATCTGCACAGCCTGGCACCTGCAGGGACCCATCCCCACCTGGAGAGAACACAATCCCCACTCCAAAATGCTGTGCCACGAGCTCCTCTGAGAGGACTGGGCTTGCCCTGCATGTCCCATGCACCAATCCAACACTTCCTCAGCAGCCAGACACTTCCAAAGGGCTCTGAAGCCAGCTGTGGAGTCATCATTCCCTCACAAAACCCATCCACCCTCCCCCATTTCCCTCCCAACCCTCCTGTGATGCTGCTCACCCCCGAGTTGAGCTGGTGGCCATTTCACTTTGGCAAACACCTGGAAGCCCAACAGCCACAAACATCTGTCGTGCCACGACCAATTGGAAAGAACAAATAAGCAAACGGGAGGAAATGTGCATATAAAAAACCTTTTTCTCCTGGCATGTGGTCAATAAGCTGCAATTTTTCCTTCCACAGGGAAGGGTTTTAAGTTCTTGGATGATATGATGCTTGGAGATGTCATTTCTTTTTCATTAAAAAAACCCAAACCCCCAACCAACCGAAAATTTCCAACCCCAAACTCACAAACTGATGTTAACAAAACAATGTAAAAGGACAAATCTCCCAACAATGACAACTGAAAAATAAAGGTACACGTCAGCATTTGTAATCAAAAACTACTACATACTGTACTTGGGAAGTCTTCTGGGAAAAGATCATTGGCATCTAGAAAGGACATCACTAAAAGTCTTGAGCAATGATATGTATGAGACATGATGCCATTGGAGGGTGGATGGACGGACCCTTAGGAAACTGTCACTCACAAAACTGTTCCATGACAAGAGAAAATAAGAGATGTAAAAAGGATTGGTTTTCCCCATCCCCACCCCCCCAGGCATTACAGATTCCTTCTCATTTGTCGGAAACAGCCTCCTCTAGTCTTAGTTTATTTGTTGTGTTTTTGTTGTTTTGTTTTTTTTTAAAAAAAAGTCTTCAGCTTTTGAAGGAGTCCATCAGTTTCTGAGATGCACTTGGTTCCACAGCACCAAAGAGCTTCAGCTCTCCCTGTCTGATCTGCTGACAGGGGCTCTGGGGAAGGGCCTGGCTCACAGCATTCCCAGAGCCCATGGGAGGAAGAGATGTGCTTCTCGTGGCCTCTCCTTGCATTCCTCTTCCTGGAGGAGTCCCACTGCTCCAGAGGTGCCTGGGTCCAGCTGCAGCAGCCTTGTGCAAGAGGAAACATGAAGCTGCTCTTTTCTCTTCCTTTGGAGACTCCCACTGGTCTTGGAGCCCTTTTCAAGAATGCAATTGCTTTATTATTATTTAAAAATATTTTGTAGTTTGTTCGTTTGTTTTTTTTTTTTTTTTCAAAATAGTTGTCCTTTTTATTTTTTTCATTCCCTTTTTCCATTGCTTAAATTCTAGAAGCTCTTGGCAACTTCTCATTGTTGAGGACAGGGTGTTCCCTCCTGCTGCCGTGATCCTCAGAGCAGCTGCCTGCCTCTGGTCCATGCAGAACACTCAGGAACTGGAGCTTGGACACACAGGGGCAAAGGGGAGCAGGGCCTGGAGGAGGAGGAGCAGGAGGACAGGCAGCTATCAAACCTCCACAGACTGGATTTGGTTCATCTGTGCTCTCATCACCTGGATACTGTTCAGAATTTTCTTCTGGTGTCCTGCTAAAGTGACCCCGACTCGCAGAATGTCCCTTTGGGAGGAAAGGAAACAAACACAAATATCAGGAGGCATTTTCTCACAGCAGAACAAGATCACAGATGGTATTTAAAATTATCTTTAAGGCCCCTTTCAACCCAAACCATTCTGCAATTCTATAATTCTATGATTCCCTGATTCTATGAGTCCATGAGAATGGTATTTAGAGAGCTGAAGTATCCACAGATTTCTTTCATGAATGCAACAAACAGATGCAAACCTTGTGAAACCTCTCCTCTTCCATTTTTTCTTGCTTACTGTCCAGTCTTTGCACTTTCAACCTACCTGCAGCACCCTCAGAGTCCTGAACCTCAACAGAGAGTGTGAAACCAAATGCCACAGGCTCTGCTCTCTGCTTGTGAGTCAATTTGTCTTACATTTTTTGCCCATGTATTGTTTTGGATTTTGGATTTTCTTTAGTTTTGTGACACACTAACCCATTTTTTCTACCCCTGGAGACACAGGACAGGGATGTGCTGCCTCTCCTCAGTGTAGATCTGACCTCCATATGCAGATGATGCTGTTCTTGATGCTTTTCCTTTGAGAAAAGGAAAGGTAAGACCATGAAGTGATCAATTTTTGCATTCAGCCTTTTGTTAAATCATTACAATCTCATTTTTTGGACAGCTTCTATTTTTTATAGACATCTGAGAGAAATAAAAGTCATGCCAAGAGCATGAGTGTGGCTCTAAATTGGTCCTATCTGTGTCTCCAGCTGAGTTTGCTCTCAGCTCTGCCTTGGTAAATAAATCTGTCATGAAATCTTTAGATCTTCTTCTTCCCATCAGAGGATGGGAGGCCAAACCTGACTTGAAGGAATTTCAGGTGCCTTTTGTCCTTCAGTGTTAGGAACAGACGTTTAAGGGGAAGAGCAGCAAAACCTTTGCCATGTTTAGAGTGGAGGTTATTGGGCAAAGAAGGGTAAAGAGGAGCTCCAAAGGGTGGAAAAAACTCTTCACTGATGTGTTTAAACCAGAATAGGACTGTGGCTCTGCACAACCCTGTGATTCCAAGCTTTCTGCCCTGGACATGAAATATTTGATTGGATATTGGGAAGGCATTCTTTGCTCAGAGGTTGGTGAGGCCCTGGCTCAGGATGTTCAGAAAAGCTGTGGCTGCCCCTTTCCTAGAAGTGTCCAAGGCCAGGCTGGATGGGGCTTGGAGCAAGCTGGGATGGTGGAAAGTGTCTTAAAGCCCATGGCTTTAAGATGAGCTTTAAGGTCCCTTCCAACTCAAATGGTTCTGTGGCTCTTGAAAGATAAGTTGGTGTCCCAGGAGTCCCGGCCTGCAGACAAAGCAGTGAGAACCTTTCCAGAAGGTCAGTGTTGAGACCATGTGGGTTTGGTGAACTGAGTCACCAAATCCAGATTTCAGGAAACATTCACACTTTGCTGGCTCTCCAAATTTGGATGAACCAGCAGCTCCACTGACATTCCCATCAACTTCTGCAAAGGCCAGTGAACATCAGAGGGTGGTGTCAAGCCCTGTTACACCACAATTTTCCAAAAACAAAGGACTTGGGCTGTCCTCTCAATTGCACACCCAGCCAAGCAGGTGAGGAATGTGGAAAGGAAGTTTGCCAAAACTAGTGGGACATGAGCTGAGGATGGTCTTGGAATTGTGGTGAAGGCTCTTGGAGAGGACTTGAGGGACATGGTAAGGGACTGGGAGAATTGGCATTTAAGGGACACTGAGGATGTGAAAGAACAGCCAGTATTGGCTGGATTGCCTGCATCCTGCTTGCTGTCAGAAATTGCAAATAGCAGAACTCAGGGCTGTAGTCTGATACCTCTCTTTGGTCAAAGTTCTTCCCTACCCTCCAGATTTTGTGTACTATCTCTCTCTTTCTGTTGTACAAACACAGCCAATACTGTGCTAAAATCATCCCCAGGGGCTTGGGATTGCACCACAGATGTCCCAGAACAGTCAGGACTGCCACGGGAACCTCCCAGCAGCAAATAAGAACAAAAAGCCAGAGAAAGTCACAGTGGCTGTGTGAGTGAATGGATTCTGACTCACTTAGATTTAAGATCTGGATTTAAACACAAATCAAAAAAACCTGCCTGGCCACCAGGCTCAGAGACATTGCAGCCCTTACAGATAGCTCTAATGCTTGGCCCTTTCTGAGGGTTTCTACAGATACCTGCAGACAGCCACAAATCTTTCAGCAGAAGCATCAAAGTCCCAGCCAGCCCCAAGGGATTTCAAATCCCACCAGCAGTGGGATTTCAGCTGCCTGATTTCTCTGAAGAACTTGTGAAGAATCAGGGGTGCTGATTGTCACTTGTCAATTGTCACTGCAGGATGATTTTTGTAGGTGCAGGACAAAGTTGAAACCACCCCCCACAAGGAGATCTTATTGGGGTGTGTGAGGGGATGTGGCAGAGGCTGCAGCTCTGGCAGAACAACAGGATGAGAGGCAATGGGAAGAAATCCATGCCCAGAAAGATCCACCAGAACAGGAGGAAGAACTTCTTTACTGTGTGGGCAGAACAGACTTCCCAGAGAGGGTGTGAAATCTCTTCCACAGACATAATCCTGCGTGAGGAGCTCTAGAAGCTGAGCAGGAAGGTTGGACTGGGTGATCTCCAGTGGTCCCTTTCAACTGTAACCACTCTGTGGTTCCGCCTGTCTTAGGCAAAACGTTGCACCATGCTTGTCTCCATCAATACATCAGCCATCCAAGAGGAGTGCAGAGTTCAGAAGTGCTCTGGAGAATTGCTTGATGCCAGCCTGAAAATCTGTTTGTCCCATTCAGGGGTTTGGACACCCCTGGTGGGGGTGTTAATTTTCACACAGTGGTAGTGGGGAGAGGAATTCTGCGGGTGCAGAGTGACAGACATATGGTCTGGAAACTGAATAGATTAGAAGTGGCTCCACAAAGCAGCAATTCTATACAAGTAAAACTACATCATATGAAAATAAAATCTTATTCAATACCATTTTTTGCAAAACTGCTGGGAATTTCTCTTGTGCTTTGGGACTCAAAGCCTGGGCACTTACTCTACAGTCATCTGAGATACTACATCAAAAGTGGTGAAGCCAGCGCTGGCAAAGCTCTCCTTGTACTGGCTCATCTTGATGGCATCCAGCCATTCATCCACAGTGTTGAAGCTGGTGTAATCCGGGATTGTGCGGTCAAGGAGGGGGAGGTTCATCCTGAAACACAGAAGTGAGCAATGGCACACCAAGAGCTGCAAGCACAACTGTTCCTGCACCCTGCAGCAGCTGCAGGCACAGGATCAGCAGCACTCACAGTACAGGCACTGGCCTGTATTGAGGAATTCCACCCAGAAATCACTGTTCTGCCAAGGGAAGGACTGTGAAGAGCATGGGGAAGCCTTTCTGAACCAGTTCACGCAGGAGAGGCAGGAGGCATCAGAGGTGATGGGATGCAGCTTTAAATCCTGGCTGCTCATGGGGAGAAAGCTCATTCTCGTATAGGAGCAGTGCTACCCACAGGCTGGGGCAACCCACCCAGCGCAGGGAAACTCCACACTGCCTCACGGGGCTTTATCTGCTTCCAGTGCAGGGGGACTGGAACACCAGAACAATCCCACCACCCCAGCACCCCCACGTGCAGGAAACCAAGGTGCTCCTCTGTGTGCAGAGTGCACTGTCCAAGAGCTGCCCAAGGAGAGGGACCTTGACATCTGTATCCCTGCTCTGTGGATGCCCCAAGGCCAGCAGTGTCCAAGGCCAGCTTGGATGGGGCTTGGAGCAACCTGGGATAGTGGAAGGTGTCCCTGCCCATGGCAGGGGGTGGAATGAGATGGGCTTTAAGGTCTCTTCCACCCCGAACTGTGATTCTATGATCTTTTAATGCTCTCCCCATAAGGGACCAAACACAGCCCAAGCTCTAAAGTAGCTCCTGAGAGGTGCAGGGATGGTGCCACCAGGGCCCAGAGGACACCAGACCTGCTCAGAGGAGCCAAAGAACAAGAGGAGGACAGAGACACGTACCCAGAGGAGAGAGGTGCCATGGCTTTCAGGCTGTTGGGATTTCGGATCATTTTATCCAAGGTGTTGACAATTTGCCCAAATTTGGGCCTGTGGTTCCGATCCTTCTGCCAACAGTCAAGCATCAGCTGGTGAAGGGCATTTGGGCAGTCCATGGGTGGTGGCAGCCGATAGTCCTGCTCGATGGCATTTATCACCTGCAGGAAGAGAGAGAGGCATCAATACAGCTGTGATAAAACCTATTTAATTCATAATCTGCCTTTTCTTGCATCCTGAGGGTGACTGACATGACTCATCCTGCAGCCTGTACTGCCTTCCCATCTCATCCCCACCTCACACTGTGACTTCCAGCCCTCAGCAGGTCAGGTGAGGTGTGAGGTGTCCTGGGAGGTGCCACCAGCTTTGCTCAGCCATTCAGCCTGGGTGGTTGATTGTCATGATCAGTCTCCTGGCCTGGAGAAAGGAGCATCCCTGTTGCCCTGTGATCCCACAGCTGCAGGCAGGGGAGTCAGAGAGAAGGATCATGCTTCCCTTGCACACAGCAAAACAGCTTGCTGGGAAAACATCCCCATCCAGAGAAGGGAGGTGAGTTACAGACAGGGAGCCTGTCCCTGTGCTTTCCATCCCCCAGCGGTGTTTTGTGCTCCAGCCCGCCCAGGTGATGAGGTCGTGCCATGGCCTGGGTGTGCTCGGTCAGCAGAAACAGCTGGATCATTCTGCAGGTCTGTGTAAGTGCAAAACACCATGGGAGGACCCAGACCCCAGTTAGCAGAGCCAGGCCCAGGAGAACTTGGTTGCAGCGTGCACAGAGGAGCTGCAGCACAGCTTGCCAAAGCCACGGTGCAGCTTCAGGCTCATCCAAAAAGGCTTTGGTCTCTCCTTACTGCTCCACACAATCCAGGAAAATGTCTGGTCCTGCAGTGTCCACAAGGGCTGGAGAAAGGACTGGAGGATCTTCTGGAATGGAACAAGGGCTGGAGGATCTTCTTCAAGGGGAACTCCACCTCCCTGCTGCTCTGTACCTGCAGCCCTCAATCCTCTCCTGGGTGACAAACGAGGATGAAGCTGCTCCACTTCTTCCAGGAACCTCTGTTCCTCTACAGAGGCATCCACGGGCAAGATTCTCCTGCCTCCTTGGCCATGCACAGCACAGGCACTGAAGGACGAGCAGAAGGAGCCTTGAACACCAGAGATGGGCTCGTGCATGGCAACAAAACCCAGAAGTAAGGACAAAAACCAGAACTGAGGACACTGCAGAGATCAGGAGCAGATCTTGAAATGATGAAGTCTCTTGAAATGATGATGGGAACGATGGACAAGGGAAGGAAGAGTGCCAGAACCTCCCTCAGGGATCCTGAGGAAGAAGCTCAATGTCTGTGGCTATTCTCACCATGGGATCAAGGCTGCCATGGCTTTTCCCAGCCATGTCTTGCACAATTCCAAAGACAGAGATCTTCCTGGTGGGATTCCCTAGGGCTGTGCCCCCATCCTGGGGAAGTCTAGACATACTCGTGGTGGTGGACATATTGTTGAGTAGGGAGACTACACAGAGAAAATTAAGTATACTGGGAATGGGAATGGGAGAGAAGCAGAGAAGAGCTGGTGGCTGATCCATGCCAAACAATCCAGAGTGTGAGATGGGCATCTGGCAGGGCTTGAGATGGTCTGTGACTCCAGGCAGGGAATGGATAGGGAGTGCTGCAGGCACTGCTGTGTGTGGCCAAGGCGCTGGGCAGGCTGACATGAGACAAAGGGCTGGCACTGCTGCTGCCAAAATTTGCCAGATGGAGGAGTCCTGTCCCAGTTCTGCTGCCCTGGCTGGACACGGTGGTGGCCCCATGGGGCCCGTAAAGGTCTGACCAGAGCTAACTCCTCCACAAATCACTGACAGGAGGGTGGAGCCAGGGAGTGTTGGTCTCTTCTCCCAGGTAACAAGTGGCAGGATTCGAGTAAATGGCCTGAAATTGTACCAGGGAAAGTTTAAATTGGATGGGAAAATTTCTTCATGGAAAGGATAGGCAAGCATTGAAACAGGCTGTGCAGGGAAGTGGCAGAGTCACCACCCCTGGAAGGCTCAAAAGGTGTGTGGATGTGGCCACCTGGGGACACGTTTAGGGTGAATGTGCCAGTGCCGTGTTGATGGTTGGACTCAATGACCTTGGAGCCTTTTTCAGCCTCAAGGATTCCACGGCTACTGATGTGCTTTGTGCAGCTCAGGGAGGCTCCCAAGGGTGCTGAGCCCCAGCCCAGCTGCCTGGGTTCAGCTCTGCCCGTCCAGGCAGGGGAGGAGCAGGGCAGGAGGAGCAGCACCGTGCAGCACCAACACTGCTCTGCTCCCAGCGAGTCCCCTGCCAGCAGCCCTGTCCCACAGGCAGCCCCAGCTCTCTCCATGGCCCCCACCAGCACTGCCCCAGGCACTCACAGCCCGGGGTCAGGAGGGTAATCTGCCCTCAATACCCGCACGCTCCTCCACAGCAGGACCAGCTGTGCCTAAGCGCTGACAGCTCCTGGGGCACCGTGTCCTGCAGCACGGGCAGGCAGCAGGGCTGGGGACGGTGCCAGGCACAGGCACAGCTCTGCCAGCGAGGGGAGAGCTCCAGGAGAAGGACAAAGGACTGGGAAGGTACAGGAACATCTGGTGCAGGACATGCTTGAAACTGAGGTGACAACAATGGCTTAGCAGGAAGGGAATTGCCCTTGCTGAGAAAGGCAGATCCCTAAGTCCCATCCCCCTGCCTCCAAGAACTGATGGGAACATTTTCCTGGTGTGGCAGAGGCTGGGACAAGGCTGTGAATAGCCAAAGGTTCTAAGGCATCATCCCCCTGCTCCAGGCTTAGGAATTCATATTAATAATTTTCCCACCAGGCATTAGGGAGGAAATAGTCCCACTCTGGAGAAACCTGATGGGGCACAGATGGAGATCTATTGAGATGGAAAAGGTCTGATCTGCCACAGGGACAGGAGTCAGGGAGGAGACAGGAGGGACAGGGAGCTTGGCTCTCACTCTCTCCCTGTAAGGCAAGGCCTTAGGAGTCCCACAGGATGGCAGAGATGAAGTGCACACTCGAGGCTTCCAAGGGACTCCCCAGAGGCTGCTCTGAGACACACTGGAAGCCAGGCAGATACTGCAAGAGCCAGGACGAGCCTTCTGCATCCCCTAGGTCCACTCAGGACCTTGGTGTTACATCCTGAGTATCCGTGATGTGAGGAAGGGCAGCTGTTCTGAGAGACAGAGTTACAAGTGGCCTTCTGACACACACATGCAGGTGCAGCCTCTTCACAGCACTCACTGCCACCAGCCAGAGGGGCTTTGAACCCCAGGTACCACACCAAGAGGACCAAAGAGAATGGAAATGGCATTGCTGTGCTGAGGGCAGGGACTGCAGCCAGGGGCCATCCTTGCAGGAAACATCCCCGGAGCAAGGAGTGCATGGAACTGTTTGACCTGAATTAGAACAGAGGAATTAAATATTCAGAGCTGAGCATGTTCTGAAGTACCTTGTGGTTTTGGTTTCTAGCTGTGTCTAAGTTACTTGGCTTCTTACAGACCTCAGTCCAAGCTTCCCATGGGAGATTTAATGGACATGTAGTGGAAGATGTCCTTGACTATGGCAGGGGGTTGGAAGGAGATGATGTTTAAATGTCTTTTCCAACCCAAGTTACTGTGTGGCTTTGTAACAGACTTTCCTGGAATGTCTGTGATCCCAGCAGATGAAGATCTACTCCAGAGGCTCTCAGCTCAGGAACATCTCCTTTTCCACCCACCTGCTCCCCTTCCCTTTCTGGGCACCTGCCAACACCTCCGGGGTGCTCCTCTTAACCTTGTGCAGTGGGTGCTGTGCCATCCCCAATCTCTGCCACAGCAGCACCATGGGGCCAGAATAAATCCCCAAATTATTCTCATTACTGCTTCCAAAGGCGTTGACCGCGGTCACATCTGCCCCAAGGGAGAAGGCTCCGGACATGCCACAGGCTGGGACAGGCTGTGGACAAGCTTTGGCCTGGCAATGCTCCCCAGTGCAGTGGTTCTGGCCCTGGTTTCCAAGGACTCACATCCTGGTTGGTCATGTCCCAGTAGGGCCGCTCTCCGTAGGACATCACCTCCCACATGACTATTCCATAGCTCCACACGTCGCTGGCCGAGGTGAACTTTCGGTACTGAATGGCCTCAGGCGCCGTCCATCGGATCGGGATCTTCCCACCCTGCAGGACAAAGACAGCATGGTAACAGAGAGAGCAGGAGCAACTGAAAAGCAGCAGTGTCCACAATATTTGCCTGTGATATTCTACTAAAATCCCAGATGGAAGGAAGATGGGACTGTCTATCCCTCAGGGTGGATTGGATTGTCCAGCCATGCTGGAAGCCTTCAATGATGATGACTCTCCCCATTTGATGACCACCCTCCTGAGCAAGGAGCTTTTCCTGTTGCTCACCTTGAACCTCCCCAGCCATGTTTTTGTCTATGAAAAAAGACAAAATTGTATCATCTGGTGCCACTGCAAAGAGTTGGCTCTGTCTCTTCATTACTGCCCTGAAGGTCACTTAGAGGTGTCCCCTCAGTCTCCCTGTCACCATCTTAACCAAAGTCAGCTCCTTCCCCTGCCTCCTGCTCCAGCGATCCTCAGCATGGCAAAGTGCCCATGGTGCTAAGAGGATCTTTAGTAGAAAGGGAATGGCCAGAAAGTAAAAAACCCAAACTGATCTCCTGCCATCCTTTTGCTGTCACCTGGCTACCTCCAGAGCAGAATAAAGAGAATCAGAATATCTTCTTCTTCAGCCTTCTACAGCTCCCACTCTGTAAAGTCAGCAATAGACCATTTCTTGGCTGAGTCCTGGTGTCCCAGTCTGTCTGTGCATCTACACCTGATCCAGCAGGTTCTATCCTTCAGTATGGGACAGGGGGTCAGTGGTGGGAAAAGGGATAAGACTGGGTGGGCACTGGGGTCTCTGTCATCCAGCTCTGGAGAAATCAGGATTCTCGACTCCAGCTGAGGAGTTAAGCACGGACTGGCACACACAAATGAGGACACAGGGATTGAGGGCTCTGCATAAGCCCTTCCTGCCTCCTGATTTTCTACCAGGGGCTTTGGACTTGAGCCATCCACTCAAGGGACCTTCTGAAGGGAAAATCTTCCCTTGTGCTGAAAAAATAAGCAGAAGTGTCTGTGTTTTGTGGCTGTGAGAAGATTAAAAAACATTATATTTTGTCAATGAACAACTGCCATGTCTTATTAAGGCTCTTCCAGGACTTCATAGTACTCAGCCCCAGTACATGCCAGAATAATGAAAAAAGATAATGTTCCTTAATCTTCTCACAGCCACAAACCTCAGACAAAATATTATGTTTTCCACAAAAGGGGAAGATGAAGCAATCCATACCAAACAGGATGTCCTCTCCATCAGGCAGGCTCCTGACAGAACTCCTGGCAAGCAGTGGATTTTAAAAGTGGCTAAAAAGAAGTAGAATTTCTAAAGTAGATTTCTAAAAGAAGTCTCATTTCTAAAGTGGAAATTAGACTTTGGAGGATTCTTGTGGAAACTCAGTTCAGTGAGACCTCTCATCTCTGCGGAGTCTGACCTGGAGCTTCACCACTGTGAAGACTTTCCTAAGGTCCAGCACAAACCTCCCAGGCCAAAGCTTGTGGCTTCTGCTCACCCATGGACACAAGGTCACTGGGAGAATGATGATAAAAACCATTTTGCAGAGGAAGATACTTCTGATAGAGTAGGTGCACATAATCTGTCATTATGGATAATAAATACCCTGCTACAGTGGCCACAGTTCAAGGAGATTAAATTAGGGATGATGAATTTATTATTAGAGAGAAAAGCTACAGGCATAAAACCAGGGATAGAGAACAGCAGCAAACACCATGTGTTTAGTTAACAAAGGGAAATTTAATTGGCTGTAAGGGACACATGAAAAATAAGTGTTATTAGTGTTGGTAAAAAACATTGATTGCTGTGTGAGATGGATGAGTTGATGTCTGAAGCTACACAGATGAGAATAAATCTACACATTTTTAGGTGTTTGTTAGGTATTTAGCTACTGATAAAATTTACTAAGAGTTATGCCAGGCATCTCATCACTGCCAGCTTCAAAAGACCCAGGAGAGGTGATTTCCTACACGTCATGCCCCAGCTCTATCAACACTGATTTCCAAGAATTCCTGTCATGGCCATTGATCCTGATGCACTGTGCAGAGCATTTCTGGGTGGTGTTAATGAGAGCTCCTGGCTCAGCTCCCACTGAGCAAAACCAAACAATCCTCTGGTCCTGGAGCCCCTTCTGCAGCCTGAGATGAGCCACAAGTTCTTGGTGGCACTTGTGTCTATGGCACCAAGGTGCTCCTGGGAAGTCGTTACACAAACATGAAGTAATTTTTAGGAATGTTTTTCTGTTTAAATTGGATACTCTCTGGAAGACAGTATCTAGTATCTGGCACCCACCCACACTTCCTACACTTCAGTCTGTCCTTCTTGGGGCTGAGCCAGTGAGATGACATGAGGAAGGACAGCAGGGCAGCATGGCTGGACAGTGATGCTAAGAAACCCAGACTTGCTGCCCTGGCAACAAATCTGTCAGGACAGCGTCGCATCTCAAAGGATGCCAGGTGAATCATACGGGGAGGGTGCAGGGCAAGATCCCAACCAAGGGCTCTTCAGGGACGTGTGTGTGTTTGCAGACATGAGGAAGGCTCAACTATCCACAGGAATGACAGGACCTCTGGGACCTTTCCACTGCTGACACCCTGAAAAAGTGCTCCCTGCTGCCAGGGGGGAGGTCCCTCCGTGCCTGCCCCAGCCTTACCAGGGCGCTGGTGTAGGTGGGGTCGGAGGTGTCGTCCTCCAGGAAGCGGGAGAGGCCGAAGTCGGACACCTTGCACACCAGGTTGCTGTTGACCAGGATGTTGCGGGCGGCCAGGTCCCGGTGCACGTAGTTCATGTCCGCCAGGTACTTCATGCCCGCGGCGATGCCCCGCAGCATCCCCACCAGCTGGATCACCGTGAACTGCCCGTCGTTTTGCTGAAGGACACACGGACACGGGTGACAGGAGCAGATTCACGGCCCCTTGTGGCCAGGCAAAAACCAGGAGCCTCTTTCCACGCCCATGGCAGGATATGCCACGAGTACATTCCCTCCCAGGGAGGGTGGGGAGTGCAGAGCTCACAGGGGTTGGGAGTCACCTCACACATCCCACGGGCAACACTACGGCAGCTGCTGTCTCCCCAAAATGCCCCCACGCTGCACAGGAGAGCTCAGAAGGTGTGGGAATCCAGGGCTTCCCTCTGGCTGCCCTGGCAGGTCTGGGACCCTGGCAGGGGTCAGGAACCCCCCTGGACAGAGCCCCCAGAGACACTGGCTGTGATCTCTGTCCATGGAAAAGAGTTTTCACTCTTACAGGATGAATTACCAGCTCTGAGTGTTTGATATAAGTAATAATTAAGTGTGGCACGGGTGCAAAAGTAAAATTTTAAGTTTCTAGATTAGGGGTTCAGAGGGGACAAGATGGAGGAATTGGGTGTGTCTTGTCCTTTTCCTCCTTCTTCATGCCCTCCATGTTTCACTATAGTGTTAGCATTTTTCTATTAGTTTAGGCTAGAGACACGCTATTCAACATAAATGATAGATATTAGCACATTATTGTAAATATAGTACACGTAGTTTCTAATATATAATATTTGTACCATCCCACTGAGGGCAGAGCCCCACACGCTGCCCTGCAGGACAGAGCTGCGGCAGGGCAGCAGAACATGTTAGAGATAAACAGAATAAACAACCTTGAAACCAGCACAGACCAATTATGGCTTCTGCTTTGGCAGCGGGGCTGACAGAGACTTTCTACAATCTCGGAATCATCAATACCTCAGATTCCGACAAGAAGGGACAATCTATTCCTATTGACCAGGTTACTTCCCTTCAACAGAGTCAATTACCCACTTCAAACCCAGAATTAGAAATATCTAGAGAGAGCAGCTGGAGGTGGGGTCCTGCTGGGTTAAAGCTGGGTCAGACTGTCCATGGGTCAGTCTGGATGTGCACCTGAGAGAGGCAGGCACCTGAGAGGCAAGCAGTCTCTCACTAGGATGAGTGGACAGACACAACAGAAATGACAGCCCTGGTGCTGCCACCCCCAGCTCTGTTCCCAAAACACAGACTTCTGGACTATGCAGCAGCTGCCCCAGTGACAGGGAACGCCAGGCAGGGAAAGCCACTGGAAAGGCAACCTTTCCCCAAATCCCCTCTGTGCTAGCACAGCCTCTAAAGCTACATACTCCCAGATCTCATACCCGTAGGAAGGAGTCCAGTGAGCCATTCTCCATGAACTCAGTGATGATCATGACTGGAGAGCTCTTGGTGACCACCCCCTCCAGGTGGATGACGTTGGGGTGGTCGAATTGCCCCATGATGCTGGCCTCACTCAGGAAGTCTCGCCTCTGCTTCTCCGTGTAGCCAGATTTGAGGGTCTTGATGGCCACAAAGATCTCTCTTTTGCCTGGAAGCTTGAGATGCCCACTGCACACCTCACCAAACTCCCCTGTGAACACAAGGTAGGGCGTTTGAACCTCCCTCACCTCTGCTGTGCCCCCCTAGGGACCCCTGGCCCCAGCTGTGCCCACCCTGCCTGTCCCTGAGCTGAGCACCCACCTCCTGATCCGGGCTCCCTCCCTCTCCAGCCCTCCAGCTGCACTCATCCCTGAGGAGCACTGCACATGGGATTATGTGCACATGGGAACTGATGGTCTTCCTTCTCCCACTGGATTCCCCTGTTCCTTCTACTCCAGCCTGGGGCTAAGTAAGATCTTAGTGGCATCAGTCCTAGCAGCATCAGGCTAAATCCTCCCAAATCCTGGCACCATGAAGGGGCCTGTGCTGCTGCAGGCCAGCCAGCCATTCCCAGGTCACCTACCTGCCCCAATCACCTGCTCAATTTTGACACAAGAGATATCGATTTCTTTTGCAAATTCCCTGACAGCCTCATTGGGATCTTCGTAGGTGAAAGGATCAATATAAATCTTCATCCCTGGAGTCACTGCATAAAGGGAGGGAGAGAGTCAGACAGGTGGATGCAACTGGAATGGTTGGCATCAAGGAAAAGAGAAAGCTGTTTGAGTGATGGTCTTTTTACCTCAGCAAGTTACATAATCAACGCATGAAGCAGACAGAGAGAAACAGTTGGAGAAAGAACATGCAGAGCCATGTTTCACATGACTGTTAAAACTGATTTTAATGAACTCTGGCCCACAGGTCATTGTTGGGGCAGTAGGGAGCTACATTGTGAGCCTGGATTAGAAACTGCAGACTCCTCCGTGGGGGATCAGTGACCCTTCCAGGAGCTGTGCAAGCAGGAGGGACAGTCCAGTCTGCCCTTCTCTCCAGTCTGGCACCCCTGCCCACGGCTGGGTTCCCTCTTCGGAGCCCCAAGAGATGTAGTGGGACACACTAGGGAAATCACAACAGACAGGTTCCTCTTGCTAGGCCGAGCAGGGGACACAGTGACACGTCGTGGGAAAGGCAGTGGCCGAGGGACCTGGTGAGGCTGGACTGCTGCCTCCACATCCCAGCCACCTGCACTGTGGGACAGCCCTCACCTGTGCTTTTCCCCTTTCTGTACTCATTTTCTGGCCCCTGGCTCACTCCAAAACGTGCTATTTGGAGAGCAGAGCTCACAGCTCCCTAAATAAGGAGCCCCACTCAGCACCAGACGCTGACTCCCAGCTCCAGGATGCTGGTTGCTTTCAGGGGGTTCTGCAGGGCTCACAGGCTCCCTGGGCCTTGGCAACTTGCTGCAGTGTCTGCACAGCAATCACGGCTGGGGACTGAGCAGGGACTGAGCCCTGGGCAGCTGTGCTGGGTGAGGAAGGGGCTAAAGGCATGCAGGGTGTATCAGCTCTGCTGCATCCCGTGCAACCAGGCCTGTTCCAAGTGGTGCAGGCACAGGATGAAACCCATCCCAGCATGGAGCTGTCACGTCCCACACCAGGCCCCGGGAGAATGTGTGAATGTGTGTTTGCAGCCCAGACTGACAAACAACTGAGAGCTACATTTACATAATGTCTCCTGAAAAGTGTCATTTTTCCTGGTAAGTGAAAGTGAGGCGGCCAGCACAGGCTGCTGGGGCACAGGGCTGCAGCTCTGCCTTTTGGGACGTGTTTCCCAGGTAAAAGCAGCAGCAACAGTGAGTCCTGAGTGGAAACACTACTGGTATTTTCCATGCTCTGACCAAGGCCTAGATTTGTACAGGAGTAAGGTATTAAAAGTGCAGAAATCCTGAAGCTGCAAGTAGAACATGAGGAAAATCACAACTGAGATTAGGATAAAGCAAGATTAAAGCAAGAGGTCTCTAGTTAGGGGGGAGAAAGGAATTTCAGAGACATAAAGGCAGGGGTTAATCATAGAATCATGGAATGATTTGGGTTGGAAGGAATCTTTAATGACCTCATCTCATTCCACCCCCTGCCATGGGCAGGGACACCTTCCACTATCCCAGGTTGCTCCAAGCCCCATCCAACCTGGCCTTGGACACTGCCAGGGATGGGGGAAGAAGGATGCACTGGGGTGAGGCAGGGTGTGCAGTGAGGCTGAGCAGAAATGCTGGATGGGAGGGAGTGCCTTGCACAGGGATGTTGGGAGAGGAAGGCTACAAGAGAGGGAATGTTAGGTATTGTATTATATACCTATACATAGACATATCTCAAATCTGCTGGGAATCTAGGAGCACTGAGATGGGCTCTGGCAAAGGTCTGTGGGTTCCTGCAGGGGGAGAGCACTCTGCAGGACAGGGACAGGTCAGGGAAGGGTCTCACTGCTGCCCAGGAGATGGGCAAAGCTCAGGAGATGGAGGAGCAAGATAGAGTGGTGGCAGATGCTGCAGCACAGAAGACAGTGATGCTTCAGGGGGTGCTGGCTGTCACAGAGGCCTGGAGGAGACGCTCAGGCACCTGAGAGCGTGCAGGGCTGAGAGCAGGGCAGGGATCAGGGCTGGGGGAATCCGGAGCTGCCCTGCCCGCACACACAGCACACCCCGCAAGGCCCGAGCGAGCAGGAGCAGGAACCGAGCAGCGAGCGGCCCCCCAGGGCCGGGGGGGGCCCCGGTACGTACTGTGGCCGCTGGTGTAGTGCTGCAGCTTGTCCGTGTACTCCGAGTCAGCGCGCTCGAAGCCCCGTCTTCTGGAAGGGAAGGGAGAGCTGAGCACAGCATGGGCCCTCGGGGCTGGGGCTGTGCTGGGGGCAGCTCTGTCCCCTCCCCGTGCCCTGCCCTGCGGTGTCCCAGCCTGCCCTACCTGCTGCACACGATGCCGATGACCACCACGGCGATGAGGAACACCAGCCCTGCCGCCGAGGAGCCCACGATGAGCGGCAGCTTCTCCTGCACGCTGGTCTGGTACTCGGCTGGCACACGGGGAAAAGGGAACGGGTTACCATGGCACGGGATGTGCCACCCTCACAAGGTCACCCAAGTCAGAGGACAGCACTGAGCACAGGCCGTGTTTGATTCCTGGCAGGCTTCAGTCCTGGACAGTCAGGACTCCCCGTGGCTGGGGGATGTGTCCCAGAAGGGAGGTTGGATGGAGCTATTCCTTTTGGGAGGAAGGTTTAGTCCTGTGGATGCGTGCTGTGCCTTGTCCTTGGCCCTGGGGCCAGAAAACTGGCTTGGTCTGTTTTATTTAGCAGCACAAATTTAGAAAAATAAGACATGGCTCTGTGTTTGTCATCAGCAGTTGTGCAGGTAGAAAACAAAAATGTTGCTTCCTCTGCATCCAGCTGAACAGACACATCCCGAAACAGAAAAGCTGGGCAGAAATGGGGCTTTCCCTGCACGGAACGAGCACCCAGGCCTCTCTCCAGGTCTGGAATATGATTTGTCAACACACCCTGGAAGGGACTGCCAGCAAGAAGCCAGCTGCTTGTCCATCTCCACATCTCTCCAGACCCTGAGCCACCTCTCCAGAGCAGCTGCAGACTCACCTTCAGTCATGGTCTGGAAATACATCTTGCCACTGTAGCGGCCGTAGCCGGCCACGGTGCGCGCCCGCACCTGGAACACGTAGATGGTGCCAGCCTTGAGGTTCTGCACTGCCACCGTGTTGGTGGGGCTCTTCACCGTGGTGGAGTTCAACTCGCTCAGGTCCTGCCAAGAAAACACAACCCATCATCAGAACAATCAGTCCAGAATCAGGCGTGGTGCTCCTGGAAGGGGGAAGGGCAGGAGATCAGGGTGGAGAGACCTCCAAGGTCTGAACAAAGAGGTCTTTCCTCCTTTGATTGATCCCTACCTTGTTAACAGCCCAGAGCACTGAGTGCCATGTCCAGTAATTTCTTGAACACCTCTGGGGTGGGGATTCCACTACCTCCTTGGGCAGCCCCTTCTAATGTCTGAGCACCCTTTCCATGAAGAAATTCTTCCCCTGGCACAGCTTGAGACTATACCCTCTTGTCCTTTTGCTTTTTCCCTGGAAGAAGACACTGACACCCACCTGGCTGCACCTTCCTGTCAGGGATCTCAAGGTCATAGAATCATGGAACAGTTTCAGTTGGAAGGGAACCTTAAAGCTCATCCAGTTCCACTCCTTGCCACAGGCAGGGACACCATCCACTAGACCAAGCATCCCACCTGGCCTTGGGCACTTCCAGGGATGAGGCAGCCACAGCTTCTCTGGGCACCCTGTACCAGGGCCTCCCCACACCATCCAGCCTGGCCTTGTACAGAGTTATTTTTGTGTCTCAAGCTGCTGGTTGAGCAGTGCTCAGGTGTGGGGGGTGGTAGGAGAGGGGCCTGGCAGGAATGTGTTTCTTCAAGTGTGGGGCCAAACCCAAGGGGTGGAGATGCTGATGGCAAATCCCTCTGCAGGGAGTGCAGGGGAGCTCTGTGTTATCTGTGGGGCACGGAGGAACTGGACAAGGCGGAATGGCTTCAGACTGAAATACAGCAGGCTTAGAGGAGATACTGGGGAGAAATTTCTCTCTGTGGTCAGGCCCTGGCACAGGTGCCTAGAGAAGCTGTGGCTGCCCCTGGATCCCTGGCAGTGCCCAAGGCCATGGATGGGACTTGGAGCACCCTGGGCTATGGAAGGTGTCCCTGTCCATGGCAGGGGATGGAATGAGATGAGCTTTGAGGTCACGTCCAGCCCAACCAGCCTATGATTCTGTGAAACACCTGGGAGACCTCCACTGTTAACACTATTCAGGAACACTTTTCCCTTCTAAAAACTACAATATCTGTTTTATGCATCTGGACTTGATGCTGAAGGTTCCTGTTTGTTACTGGTAATTAGACTGATGACAGTGAAAAGCTCAATTACAGATACACACAGACCAAGGAAAGATGATCCCACAGAAAACTCATGGCCTCGTCTGTCTGATCAGGCCTCAGCACTCCCTTGGACCTTTCCCAAGCAGGCAAGGAGAGAAACAGGTCAGGAAATGTTTACAGTTTTAGAGCTCAAGGGCTTGGATGAATCCTCCCAGGCCCTTGGAGGGCACTAACAACACCGTTGTTTTAAAATCATTTGTCCAACTCTTTTGGAGAACCTCATCCCTGCTCCTGGAGGACTTTAAATGGAATGTAATGGCCAAGGTGATTGATAGCCTGGGAAATTGATGTCTGCCTTGCTGAGGAAGGTGTGCTTGTGATGTGCTCCCCTCTAAACCCAAACCACAAGGAAAAACCATTTACACCTCTCCACCCTCCCTTATCAAACCTGTTCTTTCTCCTTGGCATCACCTCTCCAGAACCTGCACATTCACCTCAAACACTTCTCCCCTTTCACCTCTCTGGACTCCTCCAGCAGGCCAAGTGCATCCCAGGTGGTTTAAAGCCCAAATCCAGGCAGAGCTTTGTGGTGTTTGAGGGTTTTTTCTCCTGCTGATTTTGTTTTGAATTTGGAAATCCTAATTCAAAATAACACACTGGTTTGGAGTCTTCATCTGGTTCCCCTTCCCATGAGTCAAACTGAAGCTGAAACCAAAGTCTGATCAACAAAGAGTCTCTTGAAACATGGGTAGGCTGTGAGACATCCAAAGGATTTACAAAAACTGCTTCTAAAAAGTCACATTTAAAAAAAAATATTGAAAGTGAAAAAGCCAAGAAAAAGATGTCAACTGACTGAATTTGGCAGAGTTCCTATGAGCCTGCACAGCGACATCTGCCATGGCCCTGGGGACAAAACCAGCAGGACACAGCCACCCAGGGCTGGGTGCCAAAGCATCACACAGCTGCATTTCGGGATGCCCATGGGTGGGAGCAGGGTCCTGCCAGCCACACTGGGGCTGCATCTGTGGCATCCACAGCACCTGGACTCTCACAGGGATCCACCACTTGTGGGGACAGCCCCAGAAGATTTGTGCCCCCAGCCAGGTATCCCATCAAGTGGGACAAGGAGAAAAGGCCTCAAGTTGTGCCAAGGAAAGTGCAAGCTAGATATAAGGAAACATTTCTTCATTAAAAGGGTTTTCTGGCATTGGCACAGGCTGCCCAGGGCAGTGGTGGAGTCCCCATCCCTGGAAGTGCTCAAGAAATGAGATGCTGCACTTGGCAGTGTGGCTTGGTGTGCATCAGGTGTTGGGTGAAGGTTGGACTGACTCATCTTTGAGGGCTTTTCAACTTTCATTGTTCTCTGAGTGTTTGAATACCTCTCCCAAACCCACTGAGTCCTGGGCAGTGTCCACTCCCTTGTGGCCCTGGGCAGGGACTGGGCTGCAAGCAGGGTATCCCAGGGCACCCTGGCAGGGTTTCCTCTCCATGTCCTTGAGCTCCCAGTTTTCCTGGGACACAGACCCCTGCCAGGATTTGGGCAGCACTGGGTGAAGGGGCAGCCCCACCTCAGGACAGATGAGAAACACCAGGCAGCAGCTTTGGCTCCAGGCTTGGGGATTCTGGTGTCCAACACTGCAGGACAGACTCCAAAATGTCAGAGATTCATGGAACCCCAGGGTGGTTTGGGTTGGAAAGGACCTTAAAGACCATCTTTTTCCAAAGCCCTGACATGGGCAGGGATGTCCCGAGTGAGCCTGGGACCAGCATCTCCAGCATCCTTGGTCCAAGCTCTGGGGACACCCTGTCCTGGGTGCTGGGCTGTGGCCAGAAGCTCCTGGGCACCAGAAGAGCTCTACTTCTACCTCCACTTCCATATCCACCTTCTCAGGTCCTCTGCCCTGCCCTTCAAGCCCCAGCCAGCCCACGCCCCTGCTCCAGCACTGACTGGAGACATCAAAGGGCTCCTTTGCCTCCTAAAATCTTGCACTGGCGACCAAATGGGGCTGAATGTCTTCAAACAATTACAAAAGGGGTGACTTTGAGCATCATCAAACCAAATCCTTTTGCATAATGAGGAGGGCTAATTACTCTTTGTTGTGACTGACACTGCAGTGGGTCTCCAGTTCCACACTTCGGGATGAGTTTGGCAACTTTGGATAAGAACTGCTACACCCTTTCTAAATGAAGGCAACGCAGACTTTTTAAATAAGACAAACAGTGGCAGGTGCCTCTTGGAAGTGAAAAAAACCACACTGGGGCGAGGGCTACAGGGAGCAGCCACATCAGGCATTGTTTGTGCAACAATCTGCGTGGATTTGCTCCAACTCCACGTGAAAGAAACTCATAATGTTGCCTTTGTACAGGCATTTTTAACGGCATCTAAGAATAGAAGTGTTATAAATAATCTGTGAAGGGGAAAAAAATACACCTTTGTTTCAGGTATTGTGAACAGTGCTTTTCTGTCAACGCTAAAATAAATTCTTCTATTTTTTTATTTAATGTCTTTATATAGAAGAGAATCTATTAAAAATGAAGAGCCAAGGTGCTTTTTATACACAATGTGTACGGTGCTATTCATTTGAGCTGTTTTCATGAAAATAAAATATAATTTTCTACTGGGGGAAAAAAAAAATTCCACCAGAAAAAGCTTAACCAGCTCCAGAGATCTTTGCTGAGCATACAGAAGCACATGGGATAGTTTTAAATGAAATATTTGGAAGGAAATCACCTCTGCACAGACTGGCAGTGGAGTGAGAACACACCTGGGATGTGTCACACACCACATCCCACTGCTGGATTGATGGGCAGCAGGAGGAGGGCACAGCAGGGCCAAAGCCCTGGCACAGGTGCCAGAGCAGCTGTGGCTGCCCCTGGATCCCTGGCAGTGCCCAAGGCCAGCTTGGAGAAACCTGGGATAGTGGAAGGTGTCTCTGCCCATGGCAGGGGGTAGAATGGGATGAACTTTAAGGTCCCTTCCAACCCAAACCATTCTGGGATGCTTCCATGGTTCTCTGAAATCCCAGGACAGGGAGAACTTCAGCCCAGCTCTGCCCTCGGTGCCAGGCTCAGAGCTCCATGAACAGCACTGCCTGAGAGTGGGGCCCTTGTCCCCAGCATCAGGGACGTGCTGTGCCCAGCTCTGACAACGGGACAAGCAGATGTGGCTGCCTGCAGACTGGCCATCACCACCAGCACCAGTTTTTACACAAAAATTCCCTTTATTTACAGCCTCCCTCAGAAAACAGAGGAGAGGGAAGAAAGAAAGAGGGTGAGAGACTGAGATAAAGTAAGAGGAAGAGAATGTACTCCTTGAGATCTTCTGCCTCTACATTGAGGGTCCCCAGGGAAAGGACCCCTCTTGCTTCCCAGATCTGTCTTGTTATCTACTCATCCATCTTGCCACGTATTCTGGGATAATTTCCAAGGGTCAAAATAAATGGCTGTGATTTATGCAATATAGGTCAGGACCTATTTAACAGCTTACAAAGGAGCCCCCCCCTCCTCCCCATTCTCCCTCTGGCTCTTGGTGATGAGAAAATAGGTCACAGGCAGGCAGTGGGGGGGATTAATCATTTCTTCCGGCAACTGCTGGGAAAAATATTTTCAGTTCCATTTAATCATAAAGCTTTTTAATTAGTAAGTTTGCAATTTATAATGTATAGTTTATAAGCTCTTGTGCAAGGGGGCAGATTCCTGGAAGAAGTCTCCTGCTCTCCATCTCCCCTGGGCTGCAGAGATGAAGCACAGCCTGGCAGGGCCTGGTAGGTCCTGGGACCAGCCTCCACATGGTCCTCAGGTCTCTGAGCAGGCACTGGTGGGATGGACACCCTGGCACAGTCCAGACTGAAATTCCTCTGTCTGCCTGGACAGGGAGGTTATGGGAGGAGCAGGTTCCTCAAGGATGAAAGAGCCAGCACTGCAGGACCCCTTCCATAGTGCAGCGTGGACCTTCCATGGGAGCATGGGACACCTTCTCCCTGGACAACATCTGGGCTCAGGATGCTGAAGAGATGCCAAACTCACCTTTGGTGTAAATGCATCTGTGAACAGCACTCCAGAAAATCTCCAGGATTGGACACCCACTGAGTGTGCTCCAGCCTGGGACTGCATGTTCCCTGTCATTCCCATTTCCTACTGATGCCCCAGTAAATGAAAAGAAAAAACAGACCCCAGCTCTTGGCTACCTTGCTCTCCCTCCAATGGGTCCATTTGCCAGCAGCTCTGTGGAGGTGACAGGAGAAGCTCCTGAATGACCAGTGGATTTTCTACACTTGGGCCACGGGAACCATCACTGGGCCCCAAGGATTGATCGTCACTGCCACTGACATGACCAAATGCAGCAAGAGAAGTTTCCTACTGAACAACCACTGTGTGCCCTTAAGAGAAGCTGTGCACCCCCTCCTCTCCCCAAAAGCTGTGGGTGAGCCCCTTGAAGGTCCCTCAGTACCTTCTCGTAATACTGCAGCTCATAGTCCAGGATGACTCCATTGGGCTGGTCGGGCTGGGACCAGGAGAGGGTGATGCTGTCCACGGTGCGGCTCACCTGGTGCATGATGGACACAGCAGAAGGGGCTGGAAGAGAGAGAGGAGGAAGGACAGTCAGACATCTGCACAGGTAGGACCCTCACCCCGGCAGGAGGGTTATTGCTGTTTGCAGCTCTGCAATTCACTTCCTACACTGGGAGAGCTGTCCAGAGATCAGGAGATCCTGGATTTTGCTGTTTGTAGAGAGCAGTGAGGGGAGGAAAAAAAAGGTTCTGCTGAATTGGTAGTTAGAAAACATGTAGGACAACGTTTCAAGCAGGCACATGGCAAAAGGAGCCCACGGCTGGAGTAGGCACAGCATTGTCCCACCGGAAAAAAAGCCCCACCAGCCCCATACCATGCACTCCTCCCTGCCTGCCATGGGGATATAGGTGTTTTTTAGTTTTTCATTTGCACAGAGCAGCTTCCCAAGGCTCAGGCAGGCTGGGGCTGCAAGCTGCACAAGCCAATCAGGGGAGGCGCATCCAGCAGCCTGAGCAGGCAACACAAAGCTGACCTGACACGCTGACAATGGAGAGCTGCCTGCCCGGCCCGCTCATCACAGCGAGCACAAAGGGCCCTGCCAGCCTGCAGACAGCGGGCAGCTGCTGTGGGACAGGGGAGTCCAGCTGCCATGGGACAGGGGTGCCCATCTGCCCTGGGACAGGGGTGTCCATCTGCCATGGGACAGGGGTGCCCAGCTGTGGGAATCCAGGGCTTCCCTCTGGCTGCCCTGGCAGGTCTGGGACCATGGCAAGGGTCAGGAACCCCCCTGGACAGAGCCCCCAGAGACACTCTCTCTGATCTCTGTCCATGGAGAGGAGTTTTCAATCTTACAGGGTGAATTACCAGCTTTGAGTGTTTGATAAGAGTAATAATTGTGACACGGGTGCAAAAGTAAAATTTTAGGATTCTAGATTAGGGGTTCAGAGGGGACAAGATGAAGGAATTGTGTGTGTCTTGTCCTTTTCCTCCTTCCTCATGCTCTCCATGTTTCACTATAGTGTTAGCATTTTTCTATTAGTTTAGGCTAGAGACATGCTATTCAACATAAATGATAGATATTAGCACATTATTGTAAATATAGTACACATAGTTTCTAATATATAATATTTGTACCATCCCACTGAGGGCAGAGCCCCACACTCTGCCCTGCAGGACAGAGCTGCGGCAGGGCAGCAAAACATGTTACAGATAAGCAAAAATAAACAACCTTAAAAACAGCACAAACGAATTATAACTTCTTCTTTGGCAACAGGACAGAAAGACAGAGACTTTCTACAATCTCAGAATCACCAATACCCGCAGATTCCGACACCCAGCTGCCACAGGACAGAGGTGCCCATCTGCTGTGGGACAGAGGTGCCCAGCTGCCGTGGGACAGGGGTGTCCAGCTGCTGTGGGACAGGAGTGTCCATCTGCTGTGGGACAGGGGTGCCCATCTGCCACGGGACAGGGGTGCCCAGCTGCTGTGGGACAGGGGTGCCCAGCTGCCACGGGACAGGGGTGTCCAGCTGCTGTGGGACAGGAGTGTCCATCTGCTGTGGGACAGGGGTGCCCATCTGCCACGGGACAGGGGTGCCCAGCTGCTGTGGGACAGGGGTGCCCAGCTGCTGTGGGACAGGGGTGCCCAGCTGCCACAGGACAGGGGTGCCCAGCTGCTGCAGCCACAGCTGGACCCTGGGCCGGGCAGGCACCACGCTGGCCCGGCCGTGCCATGCCCTAGGAAAGCTGCCCAGGGAGATGCCCTGATGAGCCCACGGGGCAGGAACCTCCTCAGAGCCTGCAGCTTCTCCTGCGGGGAGCTCCCAGCTCCGCTCTGTGAGCAGGGACAGCACCCAGGGAAGGGCTGGGGCTGTGTCAGGAGGGTTTAGGTGGAGATCAGGGAAAGGCTCTTCCCCCAGAGGTGCTGGCACTGCCCAGGCTGCCCAGGGAATGGGCACAGCCCCGAGGCTGCCAGAGCTGGGATTGTTGGGGTGTCTGTGTAGAGCCAGGAGTGGGACTCGATGATCCTTGTGGGTCCATTCCAAGTTGGGATATTCTCTGATTGTAGGTGCAGACAGCAGAGCAGCTGACACTCCCCACCCCTGCTGCAGGGCTGACACCCACGGCTGCCTGTGCTGCCTCCTCTCCCTGCATCCCAGAGCAGTGAGATGAGCCCTCCCTGTGCCCAGCCTGCTGCTGCACTGCCTGCTGCTGCACTGCCCGCTGCTGCACTGCCCGCTGCTGCACTGCCAGCACACCCACCTCAGTGCAGGGCTACCCAGAGCTCCCCGAGTGCCAGCCCAGCCCTGCAGAGCTCCAGCTGCTGTGAGCATTAGCCCTGGCCCATCTGCCAGCACAGGCTCACCCCTGCAGCAGCTTCAGGGCACAGGGGAAGCCTCAGGGGCAGGAGAGGACTGGAGAGTGGCAGCATGAAAGCTTCCCCATCACTTGCATGCCAGGCCAAATGGATGCAGAGAGGTTTGCACTCAGATGGGCTTTTCCCAAGTCCAGCCCTTACAATATTTCATGGAAGAACAACTCATCTGGCAGCTCTGGGAAACAGCCTGGAGAGCAGCACCCAGAGGAAGGCACCTCTCACCCAGCTCCAGGCTGGCTCCCCTTGGCATCAGGGGCAGTGACAGGAGCTGTGCCAGCTGGGGTTGCAGTGGCAGGACTGCAGTGCTTGGACGAGCCTGGCCCCAGCATGTTCCTGCACATCACAATAAATTACCACTGAGCAACTTCTCTCCAACACACCAACAAAAGCCATTTTTCTGATCCACCATCTGCCTCTTCACTGCTGCTTGTCTGGCTCAGAGCACTGCAGTTCCCAGGATGCTCAATGTCTGGGTGCCAAGGGGCTGGGTTTGGGTAACACAAGATCTGCCACCACACTGCTGCACCATTTTCCTTCACCTGTCTGTGTTTCCCCACTCCTGAAGGAAGCTGTGATGTGGATTAGCCTCAGCAGTGTTGTCGAGCACCAGTTTTGTCCAGGAGAACAAAACTAGAAGGACAGTGGAGAACTTCCATCCCTGGAAGTGTCCCAGGCCAGGCTGGATGGGGCTTGGAGCAACCTGGTCTGGTGGAAGGTGTCCCTGCCCATGGCAGGGGGTGGGACCAGATAATCTTTAAAGGCCCTTCCAACCCAAACCACACCACGACTCCAACAACCCTGAGGCCAATCCTTCCATCCATTTCTTCTTAAGCAAAGCTCCATTACCCAACAGTATGAAACCCTCTGTGTCACCTCAGCCCTCCCCTCACTCCCTGGCACTGCTCCCCCCTGCCTTGACATCCCCATCCCCGTGCTTCAGGCCACATCTTTCCGAACTCCTGGGAATAGTTTCTCACACTGGTGTGAAGATAAAACACAGGTAATGCTTCTGGAGCCTGTCAGCTCTTGCCAGAACTCACTGCTTCCTTGCTGAAACAGACTCTGTAGGACATCTGCAATTTTCAAGACAAACATCTCTGTCTCTGGAGACCAGGCTTAGAAGGAAGATGTGCCCATGCTGCGGATGCCCTGTGGCAGGGATGGCGCTGCTCTGAGGGAAGCACACAGCCCGTGGTGTCCCTGCCCCCTGCTCTGGGAACTGATCCCACATTTACACACCAGGTGTTTCCAGGACAGGGGCCACGTACAGCCAGGGCTGTCCCACAACACCAGGACGTGGCAGCATCCCACAGTTCAGGCACAGGTTCAGCAGCCTTCTGCAGGAGAAGCTCCTCAGCTCCAGGTGCCTCCTGGCAGGAGTGAGGTCTCTGGGATGTTCTTCTTCCAGTTCCATGCACTGCACCCCAGCCTGGGAGTCCAGCACTTCTCCAAGGCATCTCCTGAGGGAGCTGCACAAGACAACAGCTACAGCAGGACGTGCGTGACTCATGTGCTGCTGGTACCTGGTGAACCTGCTCTTGTTTGGCTCAGCAAAAGACCCAAATGGATGAGGTGGGGCTCATCTAAGGAGCTTAATGAGGCAAATGTGCTGCGTGGTGGGAGGAGGCAGGTGAGATGAATGACTACAGCAACCTCAGCACCTTTCCCACACCCGGGGCAAGGGAGTGGCTCCGGAAGAGCAGGAACCTCCCCACTGCATGTCCTCAGTAACTGCTCCTCTTATCAGACACCAGGGGAGTGTGCAGCAATGAAATCACAGGAAGGTCTAGGTGAGAAGTGACCTCTGGATGTTTCTGGTCCCACGGGCTGGCAGAGTAGTTTCAAAATCTGATCATTTTGCTCAAGACTGTGTCCAGATGAGACCTATTGAATCTGATCCCCATGGATGGGGCTCCCATAGGCTCCCTGAGCAACAGCCCCCAGCTGCCTTGTTCTTCGGGGCAGAAAGTTGCCCTCACATTCCACTGAGATTTTGCTGGCTGTGTCTTGTGGATGTTTCCACCGTTCTCTCCCTCGACACCCCTCAGCCTCCTGCTCTCCAGGCTGACCAGACCCCGCTCTCAGCTGCCCTCACCTCTCATCCTCCAGCCCCAGCCTCAGGCTAACCTCACTGTCCTGCTGGACCTGCTCCAGTTTGTCCATGACTGTGATACTGGGAGCCCCAGAGAGAACACAGGACCCCAGGTGTGGTCCAGGACTGCAATCCCAAAACAGATTGTTTCCCTCTCCTGGGAAACAATCCCTCTCCTGGACTTTTTGCTAACAGAGCACAGCACTCCGCAGTGCCACAAAAACATGGTTCTTTGTCACACCCTTCATGCAGCTGAGGGCCTGGGGTGCACAGAGAGGCTCCCAGTCCTGTGAATCAGGGATGGGCTGAGCTTGAAACCAGTTTAGAGAAGCCAGCCAGAGTCAGAGTGAATTTCCCAGGTCCAGTCAGCAGGAACAGCTTCAGCTGGATTCTGACACGATGCCCAGGCAGCTGACTGTGCCCTGTGACACACAGAGGAGATCAGATATGGACAGTCCCCACTCTCAGAGCCTTGATCACCCTGTGATGTCACCATGAAGGTGTGAACAGAAGTGGATTTATCCCGATGGGGTGTCCAGGGGTACGTTCCTAAAAGTGCAAAAAACCCAACAGACCTTCCTTCATTCCACAGCT